TGACATTTGCACCATGGGTTTTGATTGTTGATTTTGATGATATCACTGATTAAAACAACTGATAAACTCTCATTAAAAGTTAGTATGTGCAATTACTATTGCAGCAAGCAATGGCTATCATGTTTAATGTGTGTCTGTAAGAAGAAAATTTGGATCACAAATAAGCACACCAGATGAATGAAGTGGAGGATGGTTTATTCGACAGCGGAGTGTGTGATACAACTTTTGAAGGTGGCCATAGGGAAAAGGAGTAAAGGCATTAATAATGCCTTTAATATAGTAAAGCTGTACTGATGTTTGAAAGGTGTGCAGTCATGTTGGTTGGGCTGTTAACTTTGGGAGATGTACAAAGTCCAGCACAGAGGAAATGCTACCTTTCCCTTCCCTTATTCCCTTATTTCTTTATCTCATAAAGAATCTTTATTTCTTTATCTGGATATTTGGTTTGCCTGTTGTTAAGGGTGGGAAATTTGTCATGTGCATTCCGAGAGATTTTAACATCTTGAGGGGTTTTTTGCTTTTTTATGGTTGAATAAATCTGTATTTCTTAAATGTAAAGAGCTTTGCCAGTTTCACCCTACACATCAAAGTAGGCTGAAATGTTGAAAGTCCTGGTCTTCTGCAACATTGTGTTTCCTTCATAACATTGTCGATGGCTTTGCTGGAGTGTCAGGCGGGATTGTTTGAACGGTGAATGAATGGTGAGGGGTAGCATGGATGGCATTTTCCTTTTTTTCCTGCTTGATATTCCCACGTCTTTATAATGTAAAGTGAGGACTTGTAGGAGGAGTTTCCCAACTCCTTTGATGTAGGCCACTGGTTCCATGCACTTCAGCACATAGTCATGCTGATCATGTGACTACGGAAGTGTCTTCGGAGAATTCTGGCTCCCTCAGCTAAACCCTACTCACTAGAGTCAGATATAACTGGACGGGGAAAGCTTTACCTTTAGTGCAGAACATCATGCAAGTTTCAGGCTGCCCTCAGCTGTGACTTGCCAATGAAAACCTCTTTTACTTTATTGAAAGCTACACTGACAATCCTCTGTAAGACATAAATCTGCAAACTCAGTTTTTCATAAGTACATATATACAATCATGATCCAAATGTTTCAGACAGGACATTTTAATATATTTTAATTTATTTGATTTTTATAACTGTGCATCTCACTTACCCATACCCCTGGGTAACTTGTACTAAAACAAATAAAAGCACAAAATACATAACAGAAAGCAAAAAAATTAAGTCCCCTAGCTGTTGGATATGATCTAACTCAGTGGTTCTCAACCTGTGGGTCGGGACCCCATTTGGGGTCGAACGACCATTTCACGGGGGTCACCAAACAATGCAGTCCACCATTTTTTCCCCTTTTCCTTAGCTATGCTACTCCCTTTTATTCTATTGGCTTTTGAAAGTCAATAGAATAGACTCTCTTGAATAGAGTCTAATTCTATTGGCTTTCAAAAGCCAATAGGAATTGTCCAGGCTGTCTCTGCCCTGCTGACCCCACCAAAAGTCCCATTCTGCAAACAGTGCTGCACCAGTTGAGTAGTCCTCGACTTATGACCGGTTGAGTAGTCCTCGACTTACGACCGGTTGGGGTCGCGGCATTAAAAAGGTTGAGAACCACTGATCTAACTTATTGTTCATATGACCAGGAGGTGGGCTTTAACCCATGCCCAGGTTCAAGCTTTCGAGGCTTTATAAAAGGCCAACAGAGTTGGAGCCAATCTAATTTCAGGGGAAATACTCTTCCAAGTGCTGCAGCAGAGAATACTCTATAAGTTCTTTATATTAAAAGCCATCAGTTGTGACAATATCTATAAAACAATATTTTGAAAGAGATGTTTTACTTATCTGATTTTCAATAAAAAATAGTTTGAATTTGTATATAAAGGCATTTCCACTATCCTGAAGTCTGGTGAACACAAACTGACATATAATTTTGTAATTTTTTTTCAGGAACCACTGTGGTTGGCCCTAACCTGTCTTCAAAAATGTGCTTTCCTCAGTGGTAGATAAAGAATATAGATTGAATATAGTTTTTCAGTAAATAATATAATTCTGTGCCCGAAGACTATGAGCTGAATTCACAAGCCTCCTGCAGACTAACTGCTCTTTCTTTTTCAGGGTGGAATGAAGATAGTAATCTTTGTTGATTCTTTCCTCTACCTGCAAATTTTTATGTCATCTGCCTCCCCATCTGTTCTGGCATTTTGTGTAATTTTCAGAACACTGGATGAGATTGTGTTAATGGCTCAAAAGGGAATCAGCGAAAATTGCTTTGCATTTTTCCAACTGGGAAAAATATTCTGAGTGGAACTCATCTTTAGAAACTCTGCTGCTGGCAGAAACTCATTTTGTTGTTGTTGTTTTCATGGAAACAATACTAAGGTACACATTTGACCCATAACTAATATAAGGATGAACAGTATATAGCCTTAAATTGTTGTTACTGTTCTTGCAACTTGGACTATTAACATCTGGAGAACTGCAGGTAATTCATAGCTGACGTTAATGGGACACAAAGATGTCATTTGTATAGAATTTTCTGGAACTGGAACAAATAGCTAATTAGAACGAATACAGTAATTGTCAATATGAACTTGCATGAAATTGCTCTACTTTTAGTTACAGTGATGATTGTTTGATTTGGAAGAACTGAAAAGCTTAATGAGGGACAGACTGTCATGGAAAAATAGATTACTGCAATACACTCTATATGGGGCTACCCTTGAAGAGTATTTGAAGCTTCAGATGGTGCAAAATGTAGCACTCCAGGCCATTTTGGGTGCTGGTTGTTCAGCATATATGACACCTTAAAGCCTTTTAAAGATTAGAGCTAGATTACTTACAGGACCATCTCTCTCCATTCTGGCAGGATGGAGATCTGGCAGGAGAGACATGTTCTGGGTCCTGTCTGCAAAGGAGTGCCATCTATTGGAACACAAGAAAAAAAAATTCTGCCATAGTGTCCACCCTCTAAAACAACATTCCCCCAGAAATTAGATTTGCACCCTCTCTGCTGGCTTCTTGTAAGGCACTAACTTTGCCATCTAGCCTGAGGCCTTGATGCCATGGATGAGCAGAGGGCTTGTTTGAGTGGTTCAGTCTTCTCAGCTGCTATTTTTATGTTGTTGTTTTTTTTAAAATAAAAAAACTCTGGTTGTTTTGTTTTTTATTGTTTTAATTATGAGTCACCCAGAATCACATATAAAAGATGGGCAGCCTGTAAATTTACTAAGTAACTAAATCTATGTGTTCAATTGAGTCAACAATGAGAGGATGGCCTATCATAGTTTTGATGAAATTAATATTAGTTTATGAAATATGCTATTTTGAAAATTGAGCTTTGATGGTTTTCTCCCTCTTTTTAGAAAGCATTGTAAGGCATGCCTTTTTAGTAGATTTTTATTACAAATTTGTTTTTACTTTTAGTATTATTCCTGTTACTGTGAAAATGTTTATCAGATGGAAGAGCAAACATCAATCAAGAGCATATTATTTTTGTGCTTATTATCTTGGCAAAAGGAATAGACACGTTGTTTGTTCTAACATAATTAACAGAACACAGAAAAATAAGATGCACATTTTAAAGAAAATCTGACCATTGAAATTCCTTGTTGTTAGCAGTGGCCCTAAGTTTGTCTTCTTTTAAAAAATAAATGCTATTTGAAAGTAGCTTCATTCTTTTTAAAGACAAAAGTTTTTCCTAAATTCATTTCAGTTTTGTTTTTATTTATCATTGAAAATGGGTGAGAACATTGTTTGGTCTGCAACTTAACTTTTCATTAGTTTGCAGCATTTTTAGCTGCCTCCCTTTCTTGATTTAGCCTCAATTTGTTCCCTTGACTTTTTACTGAGCGATGGGAAAATTGGATGCTACAAATTGCTGTAGAGTTGATTGCACAATCAGATAAAACACAATCCCTGCTCCATCCATAATGGAGGCAGGTGCAAAATTCCTGCACTGTCATCCACAAAAATTCAAGGAGAACTTTCTATTCCTATGAAATGTATCTTTTTATATCAGAATTAAATGAGTGGTCAAAAAATGGAAAAGAAATTCCTGAAACAACTTTAGATCTAACAAGTAATTAATCTGTTATAATTCAATTAGGGAGCAAGAGTGTTTCCAGGTGGAATTCAAGTTTTTTATTTATTCAGAGATTCACATTTCGTATACCATGTTGGCCATTCAAAAACCTATTTTTCTTATAAACACCACTCATGCAATTTATTATCATATTGCTAAGAAAAACACTGAAGCTAGGAATCACTTCGAAGTAATTAGGAATCTCTTACACATTACTAGCCTTGTGTGAATTAAGCTATTGAAGCTGTGAACCAATGTCTAGATTCATTGCTAGTCTAGAATAAATTTAAGTAACAAGGGAAAGGAAGACTATCTTAAATAGGTATGGATAACTGTCTTGTTTTGAATGGAACTGAATTCAATTAGCAACATCATTAAAATTCTGAGGTAATTGAAAATAAAAAATGGTTTGTGCTATTTTTTAGTGAAGCCATATTCGTGGATGACAATATTTAGGTGTATAAAAATTAGACAGTTCCACAAATGGAAACTCTTAATACAAAAGATGATTATTAGAATAAAAACTTTACCTATGCTTTGTTCAACAAGCAGAAATGTATACTTTGGGCATGTGATTCAAACAGATGACAGACTAGAATTTCACAAGAGCAGGGAAGTAGAAGAAACAGCACACAAAATAAGATGGACAGCATCAAGAACCTGGAATGTCTTTGGAACTGCTGCAAATTGCCTACACAGTCACCAGGGGTCAGACTCAACCAGATGGTGCCATTCAATAAAGACTATTTTCTTAAAATGAATCATATTCTTATATGCCTAGTACATTCCATTGTTGTTTTAAAAACGCTTAGTATCAAAAGGTACATTTAATGTCATTTATTCTCTTGTGTGTCACTCTGCATTTGTGTGTGGCAAATTATACACAAAATAGAGAACTCTGGAAAAAGGAAAATATATATTTTATTCAAAACAATTCTGGCATCAAAGGAATTTATGAACTAATAACAAAATACTGCACTGAATGAGTACAGCAACTCTTCTTGTTTGCAAACTGTATTTGACAATCTTACCCAATTTCTCATTCTCTCATTCCCCAAATTGTATTTCATTCAACAATGACATGTAATAAGAATTGTAAGTTACAGCATGGAAATAAATCCCTGCTAGGTATCATGTGTTATGTTTAAGAATCCAACTACACTGAAAGTTATTTTCTAAAACTAAAACCAGACATACAACATCAAATTGCATTGCCACACAGAGTGTTACATTCTATTTTTGCAGTAAGTTGACTTTTGTTAGAATTTAGGGATTCTTGGATATCATGCTTTTGTGTTTTTTTTAATAATATTGTATGAAAATAAATATTCAAGGCTTAAAATATACTATCTGAAGTAACAATCAATTCTTTTGCATTCCAATTTAACTTTGAAGGAAATTGATTTGGGAATTGATACTAGAATTTTCTGTGTCAAATGAAAGGGCCACATTGATGTATTAACTTGACTTTCACCTGTCTCTCTTCCAATGAAGAAAAATGGTAATTGTAAAGCTGCCTGAAATCCATTGTAAGATTTGGATTCAAAAAAAAAAAAAAAAAAAAATTGAGGCAATGCAATGATTTTATTGTCTTCTTGAAAATAAAATGCAAATTGGGAACCAAATCCAGCCCTTCATTTATAAGCAGAAAGTGTAGGTATGATACTATATACTGGTCCTGTGTCAATCTGTTTTTAGATTACAGCTAAGGAATTGAATGGGATCTTCTTGGGAATAGAAACAGCAGGGACAGAAAAGCTTATACCAGAAAGGAACCAATTTATATGACCCCAAAACCTTCAAAGTGAAGTGATCCCTTTTATATTTCCTTTGACATCACATACATCTCCCAAAAGGATGGAGTTTGCAGTTTCCTGTTGCTTTGGTCACTGACAAAAGCAGGATGTTTCTGTGGATGCCTATTGATACATCCATTATCTTCTATCCAAAGTGCCACACAATCCCTACAATCTGGATCACCTGCACACAAAGGCTATCCTAGCTAACTAAAGGCCAGAACACTGGATTAATAATTTTATGAATGTGTCCCATCTGTGGTATAACATTATTTATACCTGGAGCAGAAGCCTAATATATGGATATTATTTTTGGAAATGGATACTAGCAGTAACTGCATTATATACTACCCTCAGATCCTTTGACCATGCAGAGATCAGGTACTGGATCGTGTCTTGTGTTATGTACATATAGCTTCATTATAAACTATACCAAACATAATTAAACATATCTAAGACTTCCCAATAAGCTATGCTAACTAAATACTTCCTTAGAATAGTAAAAATAACCTATGTATTGAAAGTAAAGATTAAAATACAGACTTTCTTACTTTCCATATGTATTTACCATAGAAATATACTTTATAATTCTACAAACAACATTTTATAATAAAGCTTTCAGTCTGCAAATCATTCTGATTTTAGCATGGCAAAATCTATGTTTTGGTTTTTGTCTTTATGTTTCCCTTTTCAATGAAAGAGGGAATAGTGGTTGAGTAATGAAAATCAGCAAAAATAAGTAAATGTAAATGATACAAACACATTTATTTAGAAAAATAAACTGAAAATGCCTATTTATCTGATACATTTTCCATGAAGCTATAAAAATGTCATGTGTCAAATATGTAATACAAACATGTTTTCTTCCTTTATAGTAATTGGGAGGTTTCTGTCGGTCTTCATTAGGAACATAACAGTTATCTCGATCAATTTCTTTGTTGTTACACTGATAAAAAAATGTATTAAAATTAGATTGATTCTAAAATCCATGTTAGCTTGTTGATGCTTTCTTGTTATCATTATTGTTATCTCAGTTCTAAGGAGCAACTATTTACTTTTTTAAAGATTCCAGCTGCAAAGTGATGGACTGATGTTATGTTTTCTTCATTTTTGTACACAAATTTAATTTAATTTTTTTTGCTCTCAAACCCTCAACATACATCTTGTTGGCTAAAATTTCATGTGGCCATCTGTGCAAATGATGGCTTACATCATTCCCCTGAATGAAAGTGACAGTGCAAATATTAGAAGTGCATTGAGATGCATGCTGTAACAGTTGAATTGTTTCAGCAAAGGACAGGAAACAACCTTTTTTCCCAAGCATATTAGCATCAACTGTCTCTCTTCTATGGCTTTGAATTTGCACAGGAGACAATAATAGCCTTCTCTTCTACCCAATATGCATCGGCATTGCCTGATCCATTTAACTGCTTCCAACTTTCATTTTGCTACATCTGTTTAACACATTTGGCTGGATCACAGGAATGCTGTTCGGCAATTGTTGTTTCTGCAATGGGTCAGAAAAGTAACTGACTTTTGTTTCTTCTGTCAGAGTGCATGGTACTTAAGGCTGTGGCTTTTGTCAGGACTCAGCTCATAGCTGTTGAATGAGGCCGGTGTATTAATGCAGATGGCACCAATCATCAGTTGTGCTCAGGCTCAAGGGTGCTCATGCTCTAAGGAGAGTCCATGTTATTATTTAGTATTGCCTGAAGGAGGTTGCACTGTCAAATCTGTCATAGGAGAACTGGTTGTAGTGTCGTCAAATGTTAAGATACCTTCTAGCCTGAAGGAGCTGCAACAGAGAAAAGAAAAAGAGAAATAATAATTAACAACACCAATTACATTTATTTTACTTTGGAAAATTACTGCTCATGTTGTTCAGAAAAAAATGCAAAACTACTTGGAATCCTTTGAAACATTTATATGGTAGTTCTCAATGCATGCAATACTAGCTTTATTTTTAATAACATTTAACTCAATAGCAGGAGCATAAATTATAAACTTTGGCTTTATCAGTAAACACCAGCCTGAAGATGACGAATGGGACTTCGTCAAAACGTCGCCAAGACACTTCCAATTTTACGCGGGAGAAAACCCGAACAACCAAAGACCTACATACAAACACCCGCGAAAACCTCAGAATATATATATATATATATATGTAGGTCTTTGGTTGTTCGGGTTTTCTCCCGCGTAAAATTGGAAGTGTCTTGGCAACGTTTCGACGAAGTCTCATTCGTCATCTTCAGGCTGGTGTTTTCAGCTTCGTGCTTTGAGCAGCAATGTGTGGTCTTAGCTGTTTCTTCCTTTTAACTGCCAGTGGGGGTATGAACTGATTGGGTGGGAGCTTGGCTGTGTTCTGATTGGGTGGAGGTGTGTTCTGAATGGTTAGGGGCTTGGCTGTGCTCTGATTGGCTGGGGGAGTGTTCTGTTTGGTTGTGCTCAGGTTAGTCTGAGTTGCAGAGGGGTTTAAGATTTTGGGCTGCCTTGCTATTTTTTGGCTTCTCGTTCGTGGTTGTGTCTCCTCTTCATGGAGGGTGTCAGTTTGCTTCATGTATGGATTGGAGGGGTTTAAAGTGGCTAATGATGCAGCTGTGGTCTGGCTTCTGGTTTGTGGTCGTGCCTCGTCATCGGTGTGGCTTTGGGTTTGTTTTTTGCGTGGATGTGTGGTGGTGACATCCTGTGTGGTTTTGTGAGTGTGGGTCTGGTATCATTTTTTGTGTTAGGGAGTCGTTTGTCAATAAGGGCGGGTTTTCAAATGGCTGGTAGGCGGGAGGTATCATCTCGCTTGTTCATGCTGTGTGGGAATTTTTCTATCTTGATGGCTTCTCTGATTATTCTGTTATTAAAATGTTCACTTTTGGCAATGGTTCTGGTATTTTTAAAGTCAATTTCATGTCCTGCCCATATATATATGTAGGTCCTTGGTTATTATTTAGTATATTATTTACTAATTTAGTATATTATTTACTGATAAAGTCAAAGTTCTGAGTTAGTATTAAGTTTATAATTTATTTGAAATTAATTTTTTCATTTTGTTATTTTTTTTATCCTGAGAAATTAATAATAACTATTCAATTTGTATCCAGAACATAAAGGCAGGTCCTCAAGGCTTCTATGCTTTAGAGAGCAACTAATGGAAGGAAAAGCAACTTTGATCATCCCTTATTCAATTCAAGATTCCTAACCTAGACCTTAGATAAGAGGTTAGGTTAGTCTCTCTCTCTCTCTCTCTCTATATATATATATATATATGTGTATGTATGTATGTATGTATGTATGTATGTATGTATGTAGGTCTTTGATATTTGAGAATATTTCACATGATTTCCAAGCATGGGAAAAAATCTTTATATTAAAAAAATTATTAAGTAAAGGAAACAGCTTCAAAATAGCAGAAAAGTCAATCCTATTTTTTCTAAGCCCTATTTCTATCTCTAATAAAATGCTATTATATTGTTTAATATAAATAGTTCAAAAGTATTTTTTATTGAAAAGTTTTACAAAAACAATTACAAAATATACCCCAAACCCACCCACCTCCCTCCCCCTCCCCCACTTCCCAGAGCTGAATACAGAGTAATAAATATAATAATCATAATCTAACTAACATTAACCATCTATATAGATAAACAAATATAATGCACTTTAACTCTCTTTTAACACAAAGTAAGCAATTTAAGAATAAACTTAATCATATAAACAAATTAAAATTCTAATTTCTAAACAACACAATATCGATAGTTCAAAAGTATTTGTATGAAATTTACATCTTGATAGTTTACTTTTTTCCTTTTTGTTTCTGTGAAAATGCAATACTGCAATGTTGTATGAAAGAGTATATTTACTGACACAGTATAGTCTATTCAGTTGAATCTTTTGAAAAAATTGTTATCACCAGTCTAAAATTCAGGAAATAAAAATAAAATTCTCTCTTTCTCCCTCTCCCTCTCTCTCTCACACACACTCACACACACACTCACATGCACACTCACAAACCCCACATACTACACACTATACAACACACAAACTGAATATATTTTTCAAAAAATTAAACAAGACAAAAACAAAACAGCTAGCATAACCATACCAGAGCAACAGACATCTAGAAAACCATTGAATGGCAATAAAATGACAGAGCTGTTACAGATTCTAATTCTTATTTTTGCAGCCCAGACCTACAAAAATCTTATATCTCACTTGGATGCTTTCTGTAGGAACCTCCTTGAACTTTTTTCCTGATCCAGCATAGCTACTCTTATTCATGATTTTGATTAACTTACATTTGGGGTTTAGGAGTCCAGCAAGGCTGTATACTGTCGCCCTGCCTATTTAACTTATATGCAGAGCACATCATGAGAAAGGCAGGGCTAGATGAATCAAAAGTTGGAATTAAGATTGCCGGGAGAAATATCAACAACCTAAGATATGCAAATGATACCACTCTAATGGCAGAAAGTGAAGAGGAACTAAAGAGCCTCTTGATGTGGGTGAAGAAGGAGAGTGCAAAAGTTGGCTTGAAACTCAACATTAAGAAAACCAAAATCATGGCATCCGGCCCTCTCAATTCCTGGCAAATAGATGGGGAAGAAATGGAGGTAGTGACAGATTTTATTTTTCTGGACTCAAAGATCACCTCAGATGGGGACTGCAGCCAAGAAATTAAAAGACGCTTTCTCCTGGGGAGGAAAGCTATGGCAAATCTAAACAGCATACTAAAAAGCAGAGACATCACCCTGCCAACAAAAGTGCGTATAGTCCAGGCCATGGTTTTCCCATTTGCAATGTATGGCTGTGAAAGTTGGACCATAAGAAAGGCTGAGCGCAAAAGAATTGAGGCCTTTGAACTATGGTGCTGGAGAAGACTCCTGCGAGTCCCTTTGACTGCAAGGCGTTCAAACCGGTCAGTCCTAGAAGAGATCAACCCCGACTGCTCTTTAGAAGGCCAGATCCTGAAGTTGACACTCAAATACTTTGGCCACCTAATGAGAAGGAAGGACTCACTGGAGAAGGGCCTAATGCTGGGAAAGATTGAGGGCAATAGAAGAAGGGGACGACAGAGAATGAGATGGCTGGATGGAGTCACTGAAGCAGTAGGTGTGAATTTAAATGGACTCCATAAGATGGTAGAGGACAGGAAGACCTGGAGGAATGTTGTCCATGGGGTCGCGATGGGTCGGACACGACTTCGCAATTAACAACAACAACAACATTTGGGGTTTATTTCTAATACAAGAGTTATGAGGACTCAAGCCTTCCCAAGTCAACTTTCTGTAACCTTTGCTACTGTGTTTCTTGATTAAGTGGGTCAGCACAAATTAAAATCCTTCAAAACATACATGCCCGATTTGTGTTATATAGCAACACATCAGGCTTCTGTGAGCAGGACTATAAAACTAACCTCAGCCAAATATTGAGTAACCTAACAACACAAAATCAAGGTTTCAACTAAGAATATTACACATATTTTTCCTACTCTGAAGTTGGCAAGACATAGACACTGAATGTCAACAGAAACATACAGTATACCTGACCATCATGTACATCATACCGTAACTGTTGTACATGGTATCACTATTTATAATCAAGTGTTCTAAATTTAAATAGCTAAAGATGGCATACACACATCCAGCACATTCTGATGCCTCACTGTTGGGAACAGTCAACTTATGTTAACTTATTGGGGCTCAATTCATAATATCTTCTATCTGTTTAATTCTAATACTTGCCATATGGTATTTGCTACTAATATTTCCCTTCATTCTGCCTTCTAATAGTCACTATGACAGTGATGGCGAACCTTTTACAGGCCGAGTGCCCCAAAATTGTCCCACCCCGCCGCCCCCCACTCCGCTCACAGCCTGCCTGTCTGCAGGGCCACCCACCACCTCCACTGGCCACCACAGCAGATCACCCAGGCGGCCCTGCAGCGCCATGGCGGCCACACCCCCTGCCTGTGCCCACAGAATCTACACACGAAGGGGCATGAGGACAGAGTTTTGTCCTTGCTGCCCAGCTGCCATGTTCTTGGCTGTGCTACTCTGCGCAGGCCGAGCCTGGGGGCAACTCTCCTCCAGGAGGGCTGCTGGTGAGGAGGGGGCCATAGGGGGAGGCAGGGCTGGAGCGATGGCGCACATTCCCACAGAGAGGGCTCTGAGTGCTGCCTCTGGCATGCGTGCCATAGGTTTGCTACCACTGCACTATGCTGTACTGTGCATTCTGCAGGCTTCAAATGCTTGTTTATTCAAAGAATAGACTTCGTACCAAAAACCTTTGAATGTGCCTTGGGGGGGGGGGCAAAAATTTTGCCGATCTTTTTGGATTTTAGAATGGTTTAAGTGTAAAAATGGGAAATTTAACCTGCTTCATTTCTTAAGCCTTCCTTTAAAGTGCTGTTCATTCCAGCAATATCATGACAATACTTGGCCTATTTTGGTACACAATTTTCCAAAAACACAAGTGAAAAAAGTGCAGCTGTGATTGTAAATTATCTTATCTAACTTATTTCTATCTAATTAGAAGATTCTAATGATTCAAGAATACAATTCATCCTTCAAAATGAAGGATGGATGGATAAAACAAGTCAACATCTTAATACTAGACTACTCTGATATTTCCTATCAATTTTAAATGTCTGATGAAAGTTCTATCTTCCTGGCTACAGGATTTTTTAAAAGTGTGATCTTTACAGCTCATTAAGTATCACCAATAATGAATTTTGATGATTGGATCTTAGCTAAATAATTTGTTGCTGCAAGGAGCCTAAAACAAATCCATACCACTTTCCCAAAG